TTATTATGCACATACAAATTTATGCATATAATTTACTGAATATACAGAAAATCGAGGTATGCCGGAGAGAGAATTTACGAATAAGCTGATTAAAACTGAATACGACGACTGTGTGCAGCAATCGTTTGAATGATGCTTGATGCGATCATGCAGCAATCGAAGGTGTACATAACGCTCCATTTTCACTCATGATTGTTGAACCATTTTCCATTGCTGCGAATTTTTTCATCTTGTTCATTCATTTAGATGGCTATTCCTAATTATTGCGAGCAAAGATGGCTGTCTTTGGCAGTCAGTCGCACATTATAAGATAACGGTTTTTAGATGATTTACGTTGACGCATCTCGCTTGCACATCTAAAGCGTTTTTGGAGTATTGGAAACTGTTTTGATTGCATTCGGATCATATAGAGCGTATACTTTTCCAAAACTTGTATTAGCTCTGAATTGAAAAGTAAAGTACTGTTCACGATTGAACAAAACTGGAAAGATGAAAGGACTCGAATTAGATTCATTTGATTGAACAAAACTGGAAGGATGAAAGAACTCGAAAAAGATTCATTTCGTTCCATGCAAGTTGCTCAGATGCTTTAAGCAACTATCGATCAATTGCTTGTTCGTTCGATGCTTACAGTTATTTCGAAACGTTGTGATTGGACATTCAATAGAATTGCAATTCAATGTTTCCAAGTTGTTTTAATTCCCAGTACAGTTTCGAGTTACAATAGGTTCTGATCAGAAACTCTTAAGTAAGTTGCCAATTAATTTGATGCTGGATAACGACAAAATCTAAGATGTAACGTTTGTTGTTTGCGAACGTGTACTGTTCCTGCTGAAGGGTATACCCCTTCTAGCAGAAACACCATCATTGACTTCTGGTTTAAAGCTGACTAATTGCTCAATTTGAAGGGTTCGTCACTTTCTAATGTACAAAATTCTAAGGCAACAGAATTTCATCCTCTGTATTCTATTGTACTTTCATCAACATCATTTGATTGCGCTGTGATTAGTTACTAGTGTGGTGCGGGGACGGAAAAAAAAGTCGGGGACGTGGAAAATCGAGGACGGAATTTTGCAATCGGGGACCCCGAAAATGCGGCCGGCTTAAAAGTTACCGGGGACGTGGTCCCTGAAATTCCCGATTATTGGTGTTGCAGAGACGGAAAAAAGTCGGGGACGGGGAAATCGGGGACGAAAATTTCCAGTTGGGGATCACGGAAATGTCGTTGGCTCGGAAAAAGTCGGAGACGGGGTCCCCAAAATTCCTCGCTTCCCGCACCACACTAGTTAGGAGTGTTACATTATTGTAACTATCATAGTGTAGAATTATCATGAATCGAGACCCATGTTCTTCGCTAGTTTATTATTTTCGATTGTAATTGGGAAAGAGAGAGCAGAAATAAATTCGAAATCCTTTGATAATTCTCAATTGAAAAGGAAGAGTCAGGTGAAGAATAATGACAAGACCGGTATTGGGAAATTCTTGAAAAACGGTGCTGCTAATGATGCGAGAAGAAATTTTTGAGCTGCTAATGCTTATTGCCCACGAATTTGATCAGTATTTTTCGCTCACTGCTCACCTCACATTCTGCTCATGTACTCCAGTCCTCTATCACTGGACAAGTTCACGAATCTGTTTGCAAGATTGTCGAAATACTCGTCAGTTCTATTGCGACCTACTTTTAACGAAATTGCAGCAAAAAACTTTGAATCTTAAAAACGTTCAGTAACCTTGCTGTGTATTTACCCAACAAGACTCTTTAAACAAGTCTTTCGAAGACACTCTATTGTTTGGAAATTTGCTAATGTAAGGGTAAACTACGAGAAGAATGGAAATAAAAGAAGTGATATTAGTGAAATGAAGAAAAGTTTTGTAGATTGTTCATGTTATACGAATAACAATAAATAACAGCCGAGTGAGTGATGATAGAGTTTTATTTGAAAATGTATTACGTAAAACACAATATGATATTTGATGTTGTTGTTGAATAGAAAATTCCAGTTGAATTCTATGAGTATTCATCATCAATTTAACTCATCCGAATAACTAATGCGCTTTCAATCTTATTACAATTATACGATTACTTAGATAGAAAGGATTGTCAAATGCAGTTACTACAACTATGTTTGATATTATTAATTCACTTTCTTCAGTGAAGACAGACACAATGATGATAAAGTGACATTCAAATAGGTCGATGCTTTTTATTATTGTTATCATTACTATTATTATTAATATAGTATACGAAAGTAACAGTAAGTCTTCAACGAGTGTGTTTCACTAATAACTATGAGAAGTGAATAAGATTTGTCAGGTTTATTCTTTGTATGGTGTTTAGGTTGGTCGAAAAAGTACACAGAGTTTGGAGTGTAATGGGTTAATGTCGAGAGCGAGAGTAGGATGGCAAATATTAGTTGACGATGAAGATTTGGACTAACTGAATACTGAGCAAATATTAGCCATCTATCCATCCATCCAATTGGCTCTATTATTGTGTATGTATGACAGCAGGGTAAGAGGCCTACCTGCCTGAGTACACCATAACGACACACACACACTGTGAGAGCGGTGTGCACAATGCTGATTTACTTTTGTATTGCATATATATGTGACTGCAATTATCTGCTGCTGGTATTACTGTTGGTGATTATGGTGGTGCTGATAGTCGTTCAATGGGAGCAGGCAAGATGTTGGCATAGCTGAACAGAGCTTCGGATTCAGCCCTGCTACATAAGGCCATGCTTCCGCACCGCCTCGCATTACATCCATCCACCAAATCGCCCCTTTCCATATTTGTTGTTAACTCCTTCGTCAAATTCATCAGTATCAAATTCATCTGATTTTTCGACAAATCAAGTCAGGCACTGCCTTCTTCTCACTTGTTGTGTTCCCCATCAGTCATTACCTGCTCCCCAGATTCACTTTCAATTCAGTGCACTCAGTACATATATTTAAAACTTTTTATCAGTCATTAGCTTCTCATTCACCAGTCCCTTTTCAGCTACCACTCTCCTTTAATTTTTCTTTTCATCACCTGACAAACTTTCACGGAACGGCCCGGATAATCCCATCTATAATAGTTGAAATAACATCTCTTGTTTTATCGCAGCAACAGCACTATTTTGATCTGAAGTTTTGAAGCTATTCCAAAGTATTTCCACAAAAAATGTGTTGACTGGAATCAGCAATTGAAAATTACCCTCGACTTTGGCATTCATTTATCATATTGTCAATGACAAATGCATATATGACCCGTAGATCGCATTCCTTATTTTCGAAAGTATCACTTTAAGCTTAGTTTTAATAGCGACTGCATTCAGTCCCCAGCCTCCACTCCTCTCCTCCTCAAATCCAACTCAACAGAATTTTTGGCTAAAGCACGTTCAGTTTCCGGTTCTTCATTGACTTATTATACGATGCGACGTGCGCTCGTTTCACAATTTAGTCGTTTTCGTTGTATACGCATAAGAAAAGCTCATTGCATTCTCATTTTTATGCCCGTCAATTTGATCAAATACTTTTGCTGCCTTTTATGCATTTCATCAGATTTCGCATAGCTGTAATTCACGTAGAATTTGTTGTAGAGGAGCTTTCTTATTACTGTATTCAACACAAATTATGATTTTTTAATTGAATATCGCACAACAAACTTCTTTGTAGCAAATGCACACAAATCATGTTATTTCAATAATAAAAATCGATTCGAATTGAATGTGCGTTATCGTAGAGAGATTTTCTGTTTCGTATTCAAAAATCAGTTGATTAGTATTGACGATTACTATCTACTAGCAGCATAAGTTGAAAAAGATTTTAAAATTTGTCTAATTTAATCGCTACTGAAAGTAATGAGGGAGAGAGCAGTTGATGCGATTGCGACGTTTATATTGTAAAGTTGCATATAGTATCATTGCAAGGCTATGCACATCCGTGTTGTGGGTGGACATACAATCACTCCCGACCTATCTGGCATGATCTGTTCATTGGAGGTGACCAGATCACCCTGGTAACGCCAGTACCAATTTACTGAACCACGGAGAAATTGGAGGTTTGGCGGCTCATGGCGCTTGATGAAAGGCAGTACAATATGTTGATTCAGATCAAAATCGAGTTTGTTTAATGCCATCAGTAGATTTATATCGATGGTCTGCAGTTTATACGATACGTGTGCTGTCATTGAGTTTTTAGCCTATCCACCATATGTGTATGTTTTTGACACGGAATAAGCACTACTACTTCAACGTGTCGTTGTCACGGTGGCTTTTTGTGCCCGCTAACATTTAAAAATGTATTCGTAAAGCTTGCTTAATTAATGGTGAAAGAAAATGAAATCAACAAGAACTGAAAATTAGGGAGTGAAATATTGTGAGGTGGCAACTGATCATAAAAATTAACGAATGAAACGACTGAAGAATGCGCGTATAATTCGATCGTTCTTTCCAACTATACGTACCCATGCTTTCTAAAGGCTACCGTATCTTTATTGGAGCTTGATGTACATAAGTTTCACTGACTCATCCAGTTTACGAGCTTACTCTATTCACTTGCTATAAATAACATTTTTCAATGTTAATCAACCGTGTGCAGTTTGCAATCGGAAACTGTGTTACCTCTGTATTGGACTGTTGACCAATTTATAAAGGCGTAATTCTATGAGATCGTCAAAGTCAATGTTCAGATTGAAACTAATTAACTAAAAACCGCATAAATTGTTTTGAAAATCATCGTATGTTAACAATCACACATTCTATCTTCATCCATGTGCTGGATTATGATTGAGTCGGAAATGGTCCGTGATAGCATGCTCTATTAAAAAATGTTCACAAGACTACACCAACGATAAACTGTATCAACGCGTTGTATTGAAATGTTGCTCTATTGAAATTCGATTGAATTAAAACGCCAATATCAATGAAATATTCTCGTTATGCCTTCTTGTCGAAGCTCCAAAATAACATAACTGGAAATTTCACTAGTTAACTTGTTTACGGAATCCACCGATCTTCGAACTCCTTCTGATACTTCCTTAATTACGTCAACGTCACTAGAAGGAGTAATTGATTTAATTTTTGATACGCAAGTCTGAGTTAGTGAGAACTTTTCATTTTCATTGCTTGTCTAGTGGACACCATTATCTATTTATTCTGTTTTCTCATGAACTCCTCATTATGTCATTCGGCTGTTCGGTAGTATCCGAACAATTACGTAGTCAACGAAAAGAATTTTGTATGTGATCATTGCTGTCGTAATTATTATGACGGATGTTATCGTTATTTTGATACAGACCCATTCACATAGCATTTTATAAAGTTATAACATAAAAGGACAAATAACCAACGATCAATAAAGGCACTGATAATAACAGAGCAAAAAACGTATAAGTATTATACATCACAATTAGCTATATCTTCTTGCTAGACATTCTTGTCCATTTCATTCGTACTTTTTATTCCTCAGCACTGTAATAAAAGCACATTTATATGATGCTACTGGGTGGAATTTGGAAAACATTTTTTCACTGTATCAGTAGAACTTAGCAGCTAATATCAATAGATTAGTTATGCTTAATAGGTAGAAATGTTCTATACTCATCAATATCATTAGCATAAATTCATTAGCAATGTGCAATAAATGAATCAGAACAAATGAAATACGGTAGCTCTAGGCAGGGACGCCAAGCTTTTGTGTTTGGGGACGACAGAGGTGAAAAACTGAAGATGAATATAAAACATTTTAAATATTTTGAAAGACTATAGAAATTGTTTAATCCGTAAAGAATTTAGAGTGTGAAAAGCGATAAGCATACAAAATCGCCTACCTATCAGCAGTACTATCAGCCGAATCGTCGCCTGGTACGTAAACAAACTGAGATGTGTGCGAGGAGAAGTCACAATCATAATCCCACGAACGATCTTCACCAAAATCAATGCTCACTATTTTTGAATCACCCAATTCAGCCACTACACGCAACTCACTCAGATCGACACGAACGTTTGGTAAACACAATTCCGACGTTGAAGACCAATGATACTTGGCTATCGGTAACGGACAACACGTATCCTCAAATCATCATTATTCATTATGTAATATCGAATTCCTTTCAATAATTCTTCTCCCGTCAGTATTTCTTTAAATTTCTCTGAAAAATCTAAAAAAAAAACCTAATTCCATTTCATCTCAATGCAACTACTTCTTCGAAACGTTTTTCATCGCAAAATTTGGAAAAACCGTCATTTTTAACTTCATTATACACCCATCGTTCTTCCTACTTGCTGATAATAGTGTACCTCTGTGCCGGCATAACTGACTAACACTTGGTAACCTCGAAGATGCAGAGCAAACCGCACAAGTTCTCAGGATAGTCCCATCCAATGAATTTTGCCCATCGAATGAAAAACCCTCTTGCTCAACAAAAATTTTCCACGAAATGCTTCATTCTATGAGGGTCGCACTGAATGCACTATACTAACTCTTCAATGCATAAAATCGTTGCATACTGTATACTGCACGTAATATCCGTTTACTGGAAAGTAAGTGGAAACATTTTGAGGTGGTTGGTATTTGTTTAAATAGTACATATGCAAAGTAACATCAATTAAGATTATTCGAAAGCGCAAAGCAAAGGAAAAACGAAAACTGTGAACTCTAACCCCATGATGAACAAAGTTTTCATAGCAGCATCTACTGAATCCATCACCACTGCTAAAGTGAGAGTTGTTCTGATTCGCACAACAAAGATATTTTGCCTGTAATGCCACTGATACAACTATCATATGAATAATTTATTACTCCTACTGAAAAAAATACTTTTTGCATCATATATCAAACTTTAGGTCGCATCATTCATGGATCATCGATTCATATGTCAATGTTCAAGTGACAGTTTAAATATTTCCCTGAAGCGAAAAACAAAAACTCTTTTCAGTGAATCAAATATACTTTTTACTGTTACCTAAAAAGCTAGAATCTTCTCAACTCCATAAGGCATTGAGCAATGCTTTATATTGACTCAAAATAAGCAACTTGAAATAAGGAGACGTGGAACGATGATGACATGCGAGTTTTCAAACCAATTGTCAAGTTAATCAAGAAGATGCATAGTGTAATGAAAGGCACAAACTTGCAAAAATTTTTGTATACAGCAGAGATTTATCGTTGCGTTTGAGCAACGACCAGGCATACATAAATCTGTTAAGTAAACTCCTTTGTTACAACATTTATTGACATTTTCTTTACCATTTTTCTTCATCTATAAAATGTCAACAGCAGTGAAAATTGTGATTGTGATTTGTTTATTTATTACAACGATTCGTTTTGTTTGTTTCAAACTAGATGTTTCGACGATGCAAGTTTTATAAACTGCAAGAGATTGATTCAGGAAATATTAAGCTGAATATAAGTCGAAGGGTTTTCAAGGCATCATAACCTGTAAACAATGAACTCGTAAATAACTTGTAACCTGTAGATAATTCTTGCAAAACCGAATATTGCAATTAAACTGTAATAGTAATATTAACAACCTGTTGATAACAAACATCGTCTGTGAATGCAGCACACGGAATGCTATCAGCAAAAGTAAATGGTGTCGGCCAAACAGTTGCTGCCGGTGTTGGGGGAATTTGCGCCTTAAAAAATAACGCCGCCTCAGAAAGAAAAGAGTAATGGTGAGAACATGCATAACGGTAATAGCACTACTTTCCTGACTATTTGTTCGACCATTCAAAATCGAGACGCTTGAAATGGTGAACATCTCACTCCAAGAAGCCAATCGTCTCTTTTATTGTAAGCAGTGTCATAAACGAGTGAAAGATCATACATGATAATGAAAAGTAACCCTGAAAGGAGCAGGTTTAGTTGGCAAGCCCAAGTCTGTGGTACTGTAGTCTACATACTCTTCATCTTCGTCTGAGCCGTAGACCGGTGGTGTCCTTTGTTCACTAGCCCATTTATTGTCGTTCACGTTGTCTCTTTGACTGACATCTAATTGAATTAGCAATAATCACCGAAATTATTAAAATCGCATTCGCAACAGCCCATTTATTGCAGTGATGTTATTAAATAATTTCAATTAAATTTGTTGTAACTGCAATAAATGGAATGATGTTAAAATCGTTCCCGACAATCTTATGATGTAAAAGTCGAGCAAAGTTCTTGATTTAATTTCTTGGAAGAGTGAGTATCTTGTCATTAAATGGGTGCATTTCACCAGTATTTGACAATGTGAATAAATACAACGTTTTTCGATTTCATGCATTATGCAATCAAAAAACGCTGTAATTGACCGATTAAAGGAAGCTCGCCGAAATCAACTATTTTTGAAAAGATTCATGAAGAAACGTGATTGTTATCAAACAACTGACAGCATTCAACGGTTTCACCTGTATGATTTTGAAAGTGTTCTCATCTGACTTAAGTTGAATCTATCCAACATGAGCATACACTTCATATTACTCCTATTGTAACAGAAAAAATGAGACAGAAATGAATCGCTAGAAGAATGATTTTCAGATAAGAAAGCAATATTACTGAGTGAATGTTACCGAGAGTTTTTTGATGCGGTGCTTGTTCCTGTTGATGGTGATGTTGCTGTTGCTGTGGATGGGACTGTTTCTGATGCAACTGTTGTTCGGTGAGACGTCGTCGATACTCATCCAACTGCTCCTTTCGACGCTCATATTCCCGTTGACGACGTTCATACTCTAAACGCTGTCGTTCCTCTCGCTCTTGTTGTTCACGTTTCCGTTCCTCATCGTCAATTCGTTGCTGCTTTCTTCTTTCAGATTCCTGCTCTTCTTTTCGATTGCCATTTATATTCAACTCAGTCCTCTGTTGAGAAGTGCTCATTACTGCTCTATTATTATTATTATCACTGCTACTGTACGGTGAATATGCTCTTCTAATGTCATCACTACTGCTCTCACTTCTTTCTGGATGTTGTGCTTGCTGTTGACGACTTCGATCAACAAACTCAGACGATGGTCTCCAAGTACCCTGTCGACTGTTCGGTACTTGTTTATTAACGGTTGAACGTCCTCCATTCAACGACTGTGCGAAGTTGTCGAATCGTGAACGCTGATTTGATGCACTTTGTTTCTTTGAGGATTGTTGAGACGTTTCTCGACTATCTCTTAAATCATTCTATTCAATTGGCGTACATCCTCAACGACAATTTCTCTTTTACCAATCGACAATTCACACTAATCGTTCATTTTTTCATCACTTAAAGTGAATAATCATCCTATTACTGCTAAAATCAATTGCATAATTCAAAGTATTTCATGCAAATTCGTTGCATAATTTAGCTTCTCAAATTCGTTGACAGTGTTAAACTTCACTATAAAAATAACCGATTCAAAGAATGTAAGAACAAATAATCAAGAAAAGTCGTTTGGAATAAGTAAGTTTTAATCGCATGCATAATAATGAGTGATAATGAACAATAACTATTGATTTGAAAGTCGATAGAATAAACTGTGTTCCATATCAACCGATCATAGGTATATTAACAGCCATATATTTCAACACACCTGGGATATTCGGCTATATTGACACGGTCTTGACGACTGCCCGTATACCCTGGGTAACGTTGTGAATATTCTCCAGAGGGAGCGCTTTCCAGAGACGACATCTGATCGTTGTTTAATGACGATGAAGCGTACTGTTGTGTAGGTGCTGCAGATGGATGCAGATAAGCAGTCACCTGCTGAAATTGGGATGATAAGCTCTCGTTACAATCTTACAACTATGTATCAAAAGAAAAATGTTCATTAGTCGTGAGTAAATGACAATTTCGCAACACAGTGAGTACTTCATTCCAAAATGTGTCGTTGATTAGTGGCAGAATTCATGCTTTAGCTGAGAAGACAATGCAGTCTGAAATAACGTCGATGAAAAGTGATTTACTGCTGTTATGATACAAAAATCACAAGTAGAGTGATAATGAATCATCTCTGCCGTGTTTCTTCCCGTGACCAACTGTATATGCCATATTTCTAGCATGCGGAAAATCCAGGATCATTTGCCGCTAACCAAACTTATTCAGCAAGTTGATCGCACCTGCAATCATCTTGGTCTATGTTGCAAGGCAAAAAGATGATTCAAGGCTAATTTAGTTTTTGACAAGCGCTCTCAAAGAATGTCGTCTACATGATTCAAACTGATAAGTGCACTCTTACTTTAAAGTGCAGTTTGCAATAAGACGTCAAATTTGGAGTAATTTTTTCTTCTCTTGGAATACGACACTGATTGTGAGTTTCATTCATGATCAGACTTATTTGCATTCAGTTTCATGTGGAAAAGTTGAACGACACTAGCAAATGAAGATGAGATAAAAGTGTGACTGACATTGATCAAGAAAGTCATACTCAATGCGATAGATAAAAGTGATGTAATCAGGCTGCCCTGTTAAAGTGCATCAGTAGCAAAATCAGTAGGCGACGAATGCACAAATCTTGGAAGCTCTGATAATGACAAAGCAAAATTTCATGTAAACGAATCCGGACAGAAGTTTGCATAAACAAAACTTCATAAGTTGAGTTTAGAATGTTGATCGCTCGTTTAGCAGTGATCATACGTTAAACAACTGTTCATCACCGAGTAATTTCTTTCACGATTTGAGTGAAATTATGAGAGCATTCAGTTTTGGATAGCGAAAAGTGGTGATGGCAACCGAGCGAAATCAGCGTCGGGTGCGAATCTCTTTTAGGATCCCGAAGTTCGATATTCCGACCGAAGTACAGAACATACGTCGAAGTTGAATCGAATTCATTTTTCAAATTGAAAGTCGGTATTCTGACCGAATTTCAACATTTTCGGTTACAAACCGACCCTTTAATCTTTTGATATTCTGAAATCCGATCAAACTTTGAAATTCTCCGGTCGCACCCACCGAAATTTAGTATTTTTCCGGAATTTACCGAAACTTTTTAAATATACAAACGCATAAATTACGTTCATTTGAACGCTTTAACATAAATCAAAACGCCTATAAACGGGTACATACAGTGGCGTAGCCAGGATTTCTTGAGGGGAGGAGGAAGAGGCGAAAAGTGGTCTGTTCCCAAAAACGGCACTCACGGTGGAGTACACCGGGGCTGATCTATTAAAGCGATCGTTTTAGTTTTAATTGAGACGTTAAACTGTGAAATTAATGGACTAGTTTTGCATGTATTCATGATAAGAAGAAAAATTGAATTTTGGAGTATATTTTTTACGTTGCTACGTCTTTTTCTTTTCGCATCCTTTTCCCTATTCTTTCACCATTCAAGATTGGAAAAGGGTGCTGGGGGAGGAGGAGAGCTGCGCGTCTCTTGCACCCTTCCCTTGGCTAGATATTCATTTTAAGAATGAAAGAATGCTCATATAATAACTGTTCAAAATCACCCATTCCAAAGATGTATTCTTCGTTTTTGTAACGACTGCTCCAACGATTTAGAATAGTTAGAGATTGAAACTTCATTAGCATATCATGACAATGAAGACATGCTTCGAATTTCATGGTAACAATAAAGTAATTTCCCAAAGATGGATGTTGATAAATGCACCAAAAAAGAGTGCACCTTATAAGCAATCATTAAATCATAACTACATTTCAGTGATGTAACTCACCACATCTATTGTGTCATGTTCTTAAAAGTTGAATTGTGTATTATGAAAGGCCTCTAAGCAGTGCAATAGAATTAATTACAGAATATGCACTCAAGTTTTTGGTTATATTGTTCATTGCTAAATGAAGATGTTTATCTCATTTTGTTGAGAATAGTCGTATTGCGTCGTAGTCTAGCCGTATGTACGTCTTCATGTGTAGCAGGAGAAAAAATAACGCCTTGTTTAGAATGGAAAAGTGCGTGGTGGTTTTGCAGTGCATCTCTCACACAAACGAACAACATGCACTGCCGTAGTGATCACGGAACGAAATTTCGTTTAGGTCGGAATCTGATCGAATTTCTCGAACCGTCAAGAAATTTGCAGGAAGCTAACATATGGAACCACGGGCTACTTTCTCTCATAGCATTCGTAACCGTGGCGGCAGGCCTGTTTCGTATTCCCTCAAAGTCATGAAACTTTGAATACGTTCAAAAAATGCATGGTTCGCATTCGTAACAGCAGTCAAGCTCATAACTGAGATGCGTTAACTTGATGATGCTTTGTTGATTCGGAAAATTAATAGTTTCTGGAATAAGCTGATAAACCAATTTGGAGTTCTTTGATCTAGTATTCTTGCTATCGCAATTAAGATTTAATGAGGTCAGAGGTAAATGTAAGTAACGACAGTGATCAATGTCACTAACAATAAGTTAGATAAAGTTGACTAACGCTCACACCTTTCAATTTATACTGAAATCGAATGTGTGCCTAAAGGAAAATTCAGATAAAGAGTTGACGTCCTAACAGAGAAGAAGAGTTCTGAAGCCTTTTTGTAGCAGAAGTGAGATCAGATGAGCGCGCACAAAGCAAATAAACAAAAGCGGAAAAGGTTTCAAAATAATTCCAAACTCAGTGCACCATATTCATAAAGCAATACATCACATTCATAAAGAACACAGCAAAGCTTTCAGGCAACATTCTGACCACAATGAGATTACGTATAGCAAAGTTTGAACATATTACTGTTTTTTTTTTTGATGAAAGCGTTTTCTGGCTTATTCTTAGTTGCTCAAAGTTCAACTCGAATGAACGACGACTAGCTTCATCAACGAATTGTGATTTGAGTGTCAAAGGGGTATGCAAACTTCTCTTGATTAAGAACGACAGAAACAATACAAAAGCTTTGGTGAGGACTTTTATCAATACTAAAATTGCCTTTGGAATTTTGAGAGAGATGATGACGTAGAGAAATTCATTTGCGATCCTCACTCCTAGGTATGAATCGTTGATTTGTATGAAAAAAAGACACACGGCCTTTATTATTCGCTGCAGATAAATTAATCATTTCGATGAGTCAGTCTTCTAGAAATGAACTCGACGACTGCAGTATTAAGAAGAATTCAGTGATCGAGGCAAGTCATTGCTTATACTGCATTACTTGAATCTGACAAGCTGAAGTATTCAGCTGATGCAAATATTTTTTCGACTCAGTTCTCGCTTGGGAAGCTCATACCATTTTCCGAGTCGAATCAGTGATAGGAAACAAACATTACAGAAAAACAAAGCATTCACTCACTGCACACATCTTCTAGGGCATCAGTCATTCTTAACGTTAATTCTGGTTTGTTTTCCATCTTTCGTCGACGGAAAGTTGATCGTAAGAATTGAAAAATAAGAAAATACTGCCAAAACCGAAAAATAATAACTGCGAACTTGTATTTGTTGAAATTAGATACTTGAAAACTTCAAACTTAACAAAGTGTGCGAGTGACACTAGAAATATGGACGAATTAACAACAGATAAGTATTATTGAAACTTTAAAAAAACATTCATCACTCTTGAACCAAAAACCAACAACCAACCAATTCATTCACAACTAAATGCGAAACGCTCTCGCATTTTTCACTTGATTTTGTTTCCTCATATCCACGTTGCTTGTTGTTGATCTCCTGAAGCAACAATTACTACCGATTTAACAACGACCACCAACGTTGCTTGCATACTGCTTGCTTACATTTATACTAATTTTTTACATTTGCTTTTAAGATATTCCATTTTCCCCTAACAAAAATTCATTCACTTCTTGAATAAAGTCATGCTTTTATGCTGAAAATACGCTTACAACGGTTCAGCACACTGACTTAAACAAGTATCAGCTCACCAATTCGGTCCTTCAGCAAACTCACTTCCGTTTTTTTCTGTTTATTCAATAACCTCTTCTCCACTGCGAAGCTTTTGGGTAGGTAATTCACACCCTACCAACAGATCTCTCTTCTTGGACACGAAATACGATGAATAACTATTCTAACTGGGTAATTTCTTTTTTTCCTGATATCAGATGAACATTACCAATAATTGGTACAAAAATGTTAATATTTCCTAAAATTATCGTGAATTCTGAAGAAGTTCAATCAAATATTAAAGATTTCATATGAACGACAACTTAATGATGAGTAAAATGGTTCATTCCTACAATATGCGATATTGTCGATTACGCACAAACGCTTCCTCACAACTGTTAAAGTACAATTGATCCACCCCGTCAAAAAATACGACCAATTAATTCAAGCGAATTCGAATTTTTATTCAAATACTTGATGAATAAAATATGGTCAACTATTCAAAATATAGCCTTCAACTGTATCACAATAGAGTGATATGGCACAACTAATTATACATAATTAATCTCAACTTTCAATTTTGAGAAGCAATTTTAGAAAATCGTTGGAAGAAACAATAGAAGAAAAAATACAATCTCTCTGCACATTACTACTGATAATCGTACTACTGTTGCTCATTTTATACAATAATTGTTATCTACAACTGACTTTCATTAGAGAGCTTAATCTAAACACAGTTAGTGCGTTGTCAAGTAAATAATAACACGAACTCTCGTCAGCCTCAACTACACCCTCGATAATAGGAGCAATACAATGTTCATGGTGACATGCACAGAATGTAGGTTACTTTCTAGACCTGCTTGATGAGGGTACCAACAAGTCCTTAGTTCTTTCAAATCAATTACAATCTTCGCTGTGTCTTATTTTAGCTTTTGACGAGCAGATGAATTCTGATGATGAACACAAATTTATGCATGCTACAAACCGAAGAACTGATAATGCCTGAAGCGAAGCACTACTCGCTGAAACAAAGCTTCATAAATGCGTCTCATTTGCAAGCTTCAAAGCACGAAGGAAATATGCCGACCGCATGCATGCAAGCCAAATATCTTTTTCCTTTTCATAAACGCAGTCAATCAGTAATATGAACGAACCGACGGAGCGAGAATGGGCGTTGTTGTAGTTGATAAAGTATCGTAAATACACCAACCACAATGCGAATAATTGATGGTCGTTTTCAATGCATTCAAAATATCGTCATAACGAGTGACATCACTTCGTGGATAACGAATCACATTTGATAAACGGCCACATCTAATTGCTCAATCATTCATTATCATATGATGCCTTCAACAATGCTCTCTTCAGCCAATTCCTCACATTCTCACTCAAAATCTGAACTCCTGATATGTATGTATGTAGTGTAAATTATTTCAATTCTTCGTCATTCCATCAATTTACACCAAACGCGGTGTGACCACTGATTGCAAAATAGTGCACTGGAAAAAAATCATACTGACTTAATTTTTTCGAGTGGTCTTCACAAAATACATATTTCTTTACGATTGTCTAGAAGTTATATATAATAGATCCTTACAAAAAATCATGAACGTCCTTTCACTAAATTTTGTTTGCAGCGCAACTGCGAGCTAGCTATTGAAAGTGATCACTATGCACTCTGGTGATTACACTTTGGAACTATTGGCAGTGATCACTATGCACTCTGAAGATTACACTTTGACTCGTAATGCTGAACTGTAATAACGAACGAAGAAAGCATTAATTGGTTGCTGCGATCAAAAATTGTTCACCTGTCGTAGATGAAATGATCATTTGCAGTAGCACCCAACTTGTTTGATACGGACTCATTGTACGACTCTATATGGAAGTGCATCTTTGGGAACTGATTCCGAAATCGCATTAACGATCGATGGTTTTCGTTGTAAGGTGCAATAACGACCATACGAACATCTCGTATTGTTTCAGCAATCGATTGTAATCTTCAAAAACAATTATTGGCACTACTTTGAAGTGATTCCTCACAACAGTTGTTCGATTTTGAGCGCATTTCGTAAATAGGTTATGTTGTTTTCTTCTCTCGCTAGAATAACGAATTTCGTTCGTACACTTTGCTCGCTTGTCGCCAGAAGGTAACTTCGAATAAAATACTTTTTTTTTGCTGAGAACAGAACAAACGAATTCGATAAAAGATGAACTTCGACCTTATGATTACATTCAACGTAAGCCCAAGAGCTGCTATATTTTGGATTGAACAGATTCTCTGCGTTGAATTTAAGTTCAACAAAAAATTGCTATGAACGATACCATATAGGTCACTACACGAGTAAATCAGATTAATTCACACTAGGTTATGGATATTTTCCAGTTGTCAGCAAAAACAACAAAATTTAGTGACTGACTAAAACACTGGAACAACTATGTGAAATTAGAATTGTTACTTACTTGAGCAAATGTGTTTGGACGTTTGTTCGCTGGAGAGGCATAAAAACTGTAACAAGTATATATCCTCTTGATTCGTTCATCACATCTCGCCCGTTGATTTTCCATTTTGTCGAATGATCACACACCGGTGGTAAACTCTTAAAATACCTATCATGATTAGTTCATTCGTAAGACTTTCGCAGTTCGTAAAGAATATGTAATCATTCACATATGTTGTAATCAACTTTACCGTTACGGATAGATTTGTTAGTGTAATGCTGCCGCTGGACGTATTTCGTCATTGTTTTCAATGTGTTAGAAATAATGATGATATCAAGAAATAAATGTCATCACAGTGCAGTGCATTTCAAGGATTGATGATATGCCCTCTTGCATGAGGCGCTGCTTAATGGACTCAGATTCACACTGCGCAAAAATAACCGCATACTCTCTTCCAAATATCATGATCAACTTTTTGTAACCTATTTCATTCATTAACTGGAACTTATTTGGAATTCATCAAAATTTATTCATCCTCGCCACAAATTAGTCATGCACAATTATTTCGATCATATTTATTAGGTTTTAAGATGAGATGAATCAGTAAGTTCGTAAATCATTCCTTCCCTACATGCCACTCTTCAAGTCACTTATTTTATTGGGGAAAAGGGATTTTGCGATGAACAAACTAATCATAAAGTCGTATGAATGACAACAACCGACAAAATGTCGCTGAATCATGTAATGAAAGACTGTGGAGTGCTGTCCGCAGCTGTTTTCAGTTGCAAAATATAGATCATGCTGAAATCCCTAACTGTAAGTGGAAAAGTAAGTGGAAAATAACTTCAACTCCCGTCGGTTTTGCTTCATTTACAACATGTCTGATGTTCGATTAATCTGTTGGTACCCCCTATTTTTGATCGACAATATTATGAATTTCTTAAACAAATTATTGGGTTTTTTTTGGCCAAATTCAGCCTTCACTGTCCGGCACTACCATGTTAGTTTTCAAAGCTCTTTGAGAGGACTCTATACATTTTGTTAAGTAAGATGCAGTTAACACAGAGAACGATTTTGGATCCAGTCCGCAAAAACAGAATGCACATCGTTGGGAGGTCATAATAATTTGTTCATTCCGCAAAGGAACAGTTGCTTGATGTCTCGATGAAAATGGTCGCTTGCATGCAACTATTCAACAGTTTGCTAATTCTTCAATCATTTGATCAAAGCAAGCACACAAATGTTTTTTGGTGTATTGCGTTGCAATTATAACACAAAAACTTTGCCATAAACACCCACAATGATTGAAGAAATATTGCTTTTCTTTGATCGTCGAAGCAATTGTCATTGTTCTATCTCGGATTTACTTCAGCACTTTTTTTGACGAAAATGAAACGAACTTCAATAGTATGTTGAAGAATTAATGGTAATCGAACGTAAGAAAAAGCAAATGACTGACCTTAGCTGAATGAAGACAAATGAAAAGAAGTGATAATATGACGATATGCTGCATCGTAATGCCTACCGGCTAGCAGATCGCTGTATAGGCGTAATGTGATCAGCAGCATTTGAATGAGCATCGCTGAAAGGTTAGAGGAGTTGCGTGGAATCAGCTGAGTAGTGTATTAAATATACACAATGAATATACACAACCATATAGCAACTGCCTTTTCTTTCATATCGCTTTAAGCATCCAACTGACGACGTAATATCGTTAACATTTTATGCACATCATACCATCAATAACCGCTACTTTTCCTTGAACAATTGCATTTCTTGAGAGAAAAAAATTTTCAAAGTATAATGCATCTATGAAGGATTTAGTGTTAACGAGAGATTTATTTTATTGTTCTATTGTTGATCGATTAATTTCTCGAATTAGCTCTGAACAAATTTTTTAGGCCACAGGCCACAACTAAACCTGAAAAGTTCTTTTGAATTTGCATCTGCCGCTTGTAAATTCAATCGCAATATGTGAAAAGCAGGTGTCGAACTTCGAGAATTTGCCTGTGATCGTTAGCAGTTGGACAGATCCAGATATTTTTGCATGGACTTATTTGATTTTAGTGACATTACAGTAAATATTTTTGTAAATTCACTTGCTTTCTCACTTCAGTCTGATGCGCCTGTCAGGAAATGATTGCAGAAAAATTCATTGCCAAAACGGATGATCTGCGCCACATGGTATCATTCTTATACAATAGATCAAACGCTGAGGTATGATGGCAGCTAAGCCTTTCCCTGTTAGCAGAATAAATTGACTTGTAAGATCCCAAAGAGAAGCTACCTGCCGATACTATTCTTAATAAATTGAAAGTTGAAGTCATTTTCCATCAGAACCTTCCGAGAAATGCAAATTACTGAGTAAATTATCGATTAAAGTTGAGTGTACAGATGGCATAAACATATCCGAAATCTTATACTTCAAAAAAAAAAAACTCGAATTTTGTACAAATGGCATGAACATACCCCGAAAAAATTTCAAGTTTTCAAAGTACAATCTCTACGAGACTGTACTTCAAAAACATGAAATTCTCGTCCAAAACAATGTATTCTTTGCTAAAACAGGAACATTTGTTCTATATGACGGTTACTGTGAGTTATCATGATACTGACGAAATGTGAGTGCATCAATCACTTGAACACATTACCAATAGCCGATCATATTACGATCTTGTTGAGCAATTTGAGATATTTATCCGATGCAGTATCTCAACAAGTCGTAATTTTCATCCAACAGAGCATGCTGTTTTCTCAACATCTATAACTTTTCGGTTCTGACGAATCCTGACTTTAGCTTTGAGCAAATCCTTCCTTAAACCATAGTTCATGTAAAATCACTTGGTTCCTTGACAAAAAATGATAAGTGCGATGTCAGATTTTTTTTTGTTTTCAATCACAATGAACAACACCGTTTATAAATCTGGCGAGTTTTCACTGTTTAGGCGCCTTAAGACTAAAATTTTTTGAATAAAACTTGTAGGCAGTATTCATTCGACGATTGCATAAACAAATAATCATTCAGAAATCAGCCCTTCATGATGATTCGCACAATAACCATAAGATGTGAAACCATTTTTTATATGATGGAATATAATGATGTCGACAAGACCTGATAAAAAAGGATATCTGAATAGGGTATGTAGAACTGTACTCAGAATTAGCATGATAAGTTTGATCAAAATGTAATTTTTTGTGAGCTCAAGTTTTTGTGAAAATAACCAGTATACGATTTACGTTTGCAAAATCCCGACCATTTTCTCAATCCCGAGACTGAGATTTGCTCCCGGAATCGTTTTTCAATCCCAGAGAGATCCCGGGATTGAAAAGAAAGTTTTAAAATATATGAATGTGATACGTTCAACACATTCTTTTTGAACCAATGTGTTCATAATTAATCAAAAAAAAAAAAAAAACAGTTTATTCAATGAAACTCACCAAATTCAATAAATTCAACAAAACAATTGAGACAGAACCCTAGTGAATTGAATAACTTATGAGGAAATAATAGAGTTAAGACTGAAACAATAACAACAAATTCAAAAAACAAAATCCAGTGAGGCTTGAAATACTCTAAAAAACGTTAGGGCGTTGATTGTCGCATCACTCATCCGATTTCTCAGTTTTGTACAAAAAAAAGAAAATGTCGTGAAGGCTCGCTCACTGTTGACACTTGTTGGTGGGATCGTTTTAATCGAATTGTACAATTTTTACTTATTCGCCACTCTTTCCTTTATCACTTCGAACAAATGCATTTCAGAGATTACTTTGCTGTTCGTGTCATTACTTTTTTCACGACTTATGGAATTCATCATCAATTCTATTTTCTTTGGGAAACCAATATCATGTTTATTCCCGTCCTTGGACGAATCAGTTGCCATCGATGAGTTGAACTCTGGCTTATTATCATTTTTACTGCTCGCACCGAACAACCTCGAAGATAAATTCACTGCTAGTTCCATAATAATTTCTTTCACGATCTTATATCTCATATAATCTGTTCCTTTCTGAGAATAACCAGGATCGTTCATATATCTCATCGAATGCATAAAATTGGTATTCTGCGCTCGTTATTCCTCATCAGAAGTGCATGCAAGAGATCATCAGTGATAATCGTATTCAATTTCTTTAGTGCATCGATGGAGAACTCTGGCGTTTTATTTGTTTTGAACAAGTCAAGATAATACAAGACAACGTTGATAACGAAAGATGAAGCCACACTGATAAATTCTTGGTGAGTGTGTGTGAAAACGAAAGCCGGGGTGGGGTGGCCATTTGCCATGATTCATCTTTTGATTACCATGTGGGTGGTAAACAACAAATATGGGTGCCTTCGGTAGGGCACCCATATTTGTTGTAGTACACCTAATTTAGTAGCACACCTATCAAAAATCATTCGTGATAGGTGTGTTATTAAATTCATACAAAATGACTTGTATTATGAATCCCGGAAATCTCGTGAATCCCGAGATCGGGATTCAAAAGCCGAGATTCGGGATCCCGTGCAAACACTACAAATTTTTATTTGATTTGAACCATTTTTCAGAATCTCGATGTTTCCATGTTGTTAGCCGTTATTTTTTCAGAATCTCGATGTTTCCATGTTGTTAGCCGTTATTTGATGATGTGCTGCTGTTCGCATTGCACGACACTGACGGTTGTAATATGATGAAATATACATTTGATCTGATTTGTATCAAATAATTCTAATACAACAATTTGAATAATACGATGATTTGATGAAATTGTAAAACTACGCTGATTGTGAGATAAGCATTTTTTAAACAATGATAGTGATAAAATGAATTAAAATAGGAACACCAATAATACTAATAATAATAATAATAATAATAATAATAACAATAATAATAATAA